TCTGTGTCCTTTGGGAGGCGGCGGCGCCTAACGACATGCAGTGAGGGCGTATCCTCCATCGAGCCCATCTGGAGGAGGCTGATCGCTAACCTCTACTCGGGGCGACTGGCCCGCGCGGCGCTACAACGAAACGAGAAGACGAGCTACGAGCCGATAAGCCCCCGGGCGAGCCAGCGGGGGCGGTGGCAGCCAGCTGGCAGCGCGGGCGTGAGGGCGCGTGGCGCGGGGGGCTCAGCTAAGTCCACACGGCGGCGTCACGACGAGCGCGGGTCATAGGCGCCCACCAGGAACAAGGACCCCGTCGGCAGGACCGGCAGGACCTCGGGTAGGACCGCGGCACGCAAAGAGATGTGGCGCGGAAAAGTGGAATAGGAACAGAGGGGCCGAAGTGAGGCGGGAGGAGCAGCTGCTGCAGGCCGTCTGTGCAGCTGCGCACCTGTGCGCGGGGCGGTAGCGCGTGCTCCTCCTGGAGGGAGGGGAGGGGGAGGGGGAGGGAGGCCGTACAATGAGGGGACATCCGGCGGGGGTGGGCACCGCCAGGGCACCGCGGCTGCGACAGCGGGGGCCTCCAGGCCAAGGGAACTATGCGAGCGCCCGTCTGGTTCCGTCCTGTGCGGCCAGCGGGGGACGGGGTGCGGGGGGCGATGGGCACCGAGCGCGCCAAGATTCATACATACAAGGGGCGTGGCGGGGCGTGGGGAAGCCCCGCGTGAAAGTCGACCGGAAGATCAACACCGTGTGCACGTCCCGCCCTCGCGCGTGCATGTGTGAATGCTAGTGTGTGTGTGAGTGTGAGAGTGAGTGTGTGTGAGTGTGTGTGTGTGTGTGAGTGTATGTGAGAGTGTGCGTGTGTGGGGCAGCTCTCCCTCAGTGTCACTACAATACATTGTGGTGCCAGGCGGGCGCCTGACGTCAGGCAGCAGGACCCAAAGTGGCACGGTAATGTGCGGGTACCGTTGGCCCCCGCACCGCACCGCCCGTGCCGGCGGACATGAGTGCCTACTACGACGTTTTAATTTTAATTTTTTCGAAACGGGTCTCTTTGCATTCGATTTGACGCAACAGTGCGATACAAGGCAAAAACAATGTCTGATTCTGATTGTTTTTTTTTTGAGGAGAAAGAGAAAACATTGAAAATCCTTTTATAATTTGAGGAAAACTCCTCAGATTTTGAGGAAGTCTCCTCTGACGATGTGGGAATTTCATTCACCCCAAATGAGTTTTTCCTCAAACCAAAGGAGATCATCAAAGCTTTCACCTTTCCATCACTAAAATCAGTCACATTGTTTTTACCGTGTATTTAGGGGTAGGGGTCCCCGCCGGTCCCCGCCCACGGGTGACGTGCTTATGTGGGCCGTGCTGGTCAGGAGGCCGGCAGATGGCAGACGGCTGGCGGCGCGGTCCGCTCCAGTCCTGCATTCAAATACCAGCGCGCCGCACGCCACTTCCTGTTGTGAAAGGTCACGTGACTCAGAGAGATGGAATACGCACGCGTGAAAGTTCACCGCGACGCACCCACCGTGGCGGGCGATGTGCACTGTAACTTGCTTACGAACAATAGGTTCTTAACGCAAACCAAAACCTTAGTAGCTTACAAATGATTTTGAAGCGTTGTACGAACAAATAGTTCGTAATGCAAACTGATTGTTCGTAAGAACCTTCCTAGCCTTACAAACAATCGCTTCGCAATACAAACAAATTCTTTGCAATACAAAGAAGAAATGTTGTTCGTAACGTTGGAAAGCATCTAGTTCGTAGGCATTTCACAGTGTGTTTCCTTATCAGCGCGGTCGTGGGCGATGCCTGGGCGGCTGCTGCGGGGCCGCCCAGAAAATGTCTTCTCTAAATGGACGGAATTTCTTTGAACGACAAGAAAGAAATTTTTGATTTTATTTAAAGGGATCTTTATTTGTTCCAGATTCTTTTGACCCCACGACGGATTTTCCTTCTCTTGATTTTTTTGACTTTGAAATTAAGTCAATAATTACTTTGGACAGGACATGGCTAAAGAAACTGCTTTGGTACAAAGACAGGCACGCTCTTTAGGAGAGTAAGTAAGTAGAGCCTGTTTAAACAATAACGTTCAAAAATTCGCTATTCCATTTGGAGTGAGCAAGTTCAAATTTGATATTTAATGTCATGTGGTAGTGTACTAATCGGACACCCCAAAATATAATCGAGTTTGGATACCCTTCTTTTCTCTGCTGTCGTACCCCTTTAAATGAGGAGTAGGAGTAGTGGAGCAGTCCGCCGCGGTAGCCGGATCTTCTC